CCCAACACAAGAAAGAAACAGAAAGAACCAAACTAAACAAATTCTCATAATTGGAACAACTGTTGAAATGTAGAAAAAGAGAGAAAATCATTACCTGACATCTTTAAAGAATACGAAGAGTGGCATACTCCCATTTTCCGACAAGGTAACATCTTTTTCGGCCATGGCAACGAATATCAGTTATGTTCTTCAAAAAGCTACTCACAGAAAACCAAACGACTCCATATATTTCTGCAATAAAATTCGAAACAAATCATAGTCTGATCACTCGTTACATATCACTTGCACACACACACACACTGACACACACGCACACAGCAGTTTCTAAATAAAGAAAAACGGGAAGAAAAGGAATAATGAAAGAGTGGAACAGGTCAGATTGCAGTTTGCATACCCAAAAACCAATATCTGAAACAAATTAGTATGCCACAACGAATTACTAAAAATCAAAATTTCAATAATTACTCAAGGAAAAAACTAAGGAAAGTTGAGTGATTATTGAAAATGGCTGTAAGAAACTTAAGAATGCTTATGTTTTTGTTATTCCATTGAGCAATCTTTATTTCTGGTCCAGGAATTTTTACAAGGCGGAGAACAAAAGTGGTCTCATATTGAACCTTTTTAAAGAACAAAGTGTTGTGAAATTGTGGAATTTCAAGAAGACAGAGAATCGGAGAGTGACGAAAAGGGTTGTGGACACGTGTCCTTCTGGGCCCTTGTTCCGTTGGTGTGGATTTCATTTGCATAAAAAATCAGCCCTTTCCATTAATTTCTTTTCTCTCTTAAAAGTGATTGGGAAAGAACTCCTAATGTTAATTTAAGTTAATTTGACATGTGCAGAAATTATTAGCACAAATATTTTGATACTTACACGCAATGGAGAGAACTCCTAATCGCAATTTATGTTAATTTGACATATGTAGAAATTGTTAGCTCCAATATTTTTTTACTACTCATAATGTTTTAAATATCGAAATATAGGTTCACCCATATCGTATTAGAGCATCTCCAATGCTTTAATGTTGTTATTGGAAAAATTTTGACAAATATCAAAATATTAAATAAATTGTGAACCATGTAGGACAAATGTTGAGTTCATAACTATTAAATTACAAAATCATCTTCAATGCACAATGTAGTCTAAATACAATATTATCTACTTACCAATATTAAAATTTTAATATAAATTAATAAAATTAATTAAATAGTTTAAAAATAGTAATAATAATTCTCTCTCTTCTCTTCATTGGCTAGCTAGAGTGTGGAAGAGAATGTAGATGAACCACATTCTTCTCTACATTGTAGACATTAATTATGTCCACATCACCACAACATTTTTAATCACATTGTATATTGGAGAATGGAAACCCATACTAGCGTTTTTTTTCTAAATATTTGCCATATATTTATACAAGATCAACTATCATTAATACCACAACTACTATCAAATACCTATCGGTACTATACGGAATACGATATTTTAGTTATTCAGACAGACTTTAGGTTATCAGGTTATTTGTTCTAACATTTTTTCATTGCATGAATTGCAAACATAAATAATTAATTTAAAAATATATAGACACAAACTATTTTATCTTATCAATATATATACAAAAAATATAATAGAAATGTTTTTTTATTTAATTTAATAATTTTTAATTTTAATATTATTATATATCATGATAAATATTTACTACATAAATATATACACATAATTATTTAATTTTAAATTAAAAATATTTCTTAAACTGAAAAAATAGTTGGGCCAATCTGGATCACAAAATAGAACTAAAAAGTGAACTACCTAAAAAATCATTACTTTAACATATTTATAATGGCAAATTAATAATAAAATAATACCCATTATATCTTTTATTTTTATTACTAACAATTTTTTAAGTTATAGCAAATTTTAACAAACATGCATGAACATTACTGATAAAAATACGATAGTAGTTAAAATAAATTATGGTCACCGTGGAGAAAAGCTAATACCATATTAGCTTTTAAAAACGAATGATTATTTATTTCCTGCAATCGGACATACTTTGACATATTAAATTCTATCGTTTAATATGTCAAACTAAAAATAATATAAGTGGTTTTGGAATAACTAACAGAAATATTTAAATATTATACATTTATACTCATATCCTAAATCATTTAATAGAATAAAAATTGATCCAACAAAAACAACATAATAAGTACCTATAAAGAATCTAAATATTTATAAATACTTATGAACACAATTAAATTAATAAGAAAAATTACAACTTAAATTTTAATGTTTAAGAAGGAATACAAAAAAAAAATTATATTGCAATGAAAATCCAACGGTATGTTATTCTACGGAAAATTTCAATAGATATTTCAATGGTAGAGCTTTCAATGAAAATTTATTTGCCTATTCCGTCAGAGATAAAATTAAATTACATTGAATTTTTAGTGGATTTAATGATTCTAATTATAATTATTTATTGTTGTGTGAATTTTTGTTGAATTTTTTTTTTTTTCCATATTTTAACCATTGAAAAAAACTGTCAATTGAATTATAAAAAATTCAGTGGAAATTCCATTAGAAAGCTAATTGCATTGGCGGATATAAATTAATTTCATAATGGCAACACTATTTAGTTAATTGAAAAAGTATATCATCAAAATAACATAACGTCATTACAACATATAAATTATACTTTCATAATTTATCATATTTCTCATTTGTAATACATTTTTAACATATCAATACAATCAGAATAAGTTAAAAAATATATTTTTTTTTAAAAAAAACATAATTGTTCTCAATTCAACATAAGAAAATCATTGAAATAATATATATTAAATTTTAATGAACAAAAATTTTATGTTGATGTATAGGTGGCTCGACAATATAATTGATGAATTTATAAATTATAATATTTGAGTATAATGTTAATAAAATCACAATTATATATAATATAATGTAAAGATATACAATTAATTATTTATAATAAGACATATGACCCAAAAAGTTATATACTTAATTTTATAATTAATAAAAGTAAATATAAACTTTTAAAATTTGTACTTATCGATTTAAATGAGATGAATTGTTAATGCTTATTAATATTTTGTTCTTATTGCTTATTTGTGTATTATAGACAATAGTTATTTGTATTTTAATCCATGTAGGTTAGAAATTTATTTATTTATTTTTTTTAAAAAAAACTTGATTATTCTAATTTTTAATTTTTATATGCTATTAGTTTTGGAATTTAATATATAATATCATATTACGTATATAATAATAATTATTTTTATTACTTAATAATTAATATGTAAGAAATGTAACTCAACTGAGAAATTAATGGGTAATTTATAGATAAAATAATGAGTGATTTCTGAAAAAAGAATATGGACTAATAAAAACTACTACATACAAATTTTAATGTTTAAGAAGGAATACAAAAAAAAATTGCTATATTGCAATGAAACTTCTGAAGGCAGGTATTTTGCTGAAAATTCCAATGAATATTTCATTGGTATAACTTTCATTGGAAAATTTCATTGGCTCTTCCAACAAACATCAAATTAAATTATA